ACCAACCAACCACATAAACAAAACAACCAACCAACCAACCACATAAACAAAACAACCAACTAACCAACCAACCAACCACATAAACAAAACAACCAACCAACCAACCACATAAACAAAACAACCAGCCAACCAACCAACCACATAAACAAAACCCCAGATCCACCGTAATATTTCAGGTGAGTGTACTGTCTTGTGTCAGCATTCAGACGATCCTGGGTGCATGTATCCTGTGGATTGCAGGATACCCACCACAAACCTGGGTGTGCCATCAGAGACAGGAAGACAAAGACAGACTGAAGATCTCCACCATTTTAGGGGAGATTAAAGAGAGACAACCACACACAGCAGAAACCAGTTTTGGAACCTAGACAGAAAGTTCTTCTTTACCACAAAAGATACTTTGAGCGAGCAGCAGGCTAACCAGGACCAAGTGCTGCTGAGTAGATGAGCAAGCACAGCAAGGCACTGAGGGGGCAAGTGACTGCTATTAACTTTCAAACAGACAACTCAGAGAAGAAAATGCATGCGTGAATGTAGGAAGAGTGGTGAGCTAATCATAAGAACGAGAACTAGAAGAGAAGGTGAAAGGGGGTCAGGATGGTCAGATAGAGGCCCTGGCCACCAAGCCTGATGACCTGAATTTGATCCCCAGCACCCACATCCTGGAAGTAGGGAATTTAAAAAAGTTGTCTTCTGTCTGCCACGTGTACGTTGTGGCATGCTTATGTACACACACACACACACACACACACACACACACACACACACATTTTATAGAATAAGCCAAAATAATAAAAGCAAACCCACCATTGAAATACAAACAGAAATGAGAACACCCTGAATAACCTGTAATTCCACTTAACGTGACTCTTTTCTTACTCTTAAATAAAAATATCACAGTGTACCTATTATTTCTAGCTTCTTATTTTCCTTCTTAGCAGCATACCATGAACATATTTATTTAGTTCCTAAACCTAGGAATAGTCATTTAAAATTTTTATTTTTTGAGAATTTCTTACAATATAGTTTGACCACATTCTTTCTATTTTTCCAACTTTCCCCAGATCCTCCCCATTTCCTCAATCCAAATTCTTTCCTCTCTTCTCAAAACAAACAAACAAACAAACAAACAAACAAACACAGAAAAAGGAAAAAGAAAAAGAAAACCAAACCAAACCAAACCCAGCAGAGTTGGCTGACTACCCCAGAGGATGTTCTTCTTGCTGTCCCCCTGCAAGTTCATGGCTATGGTGCTCTGAAACCCTACAGTGTTTACCTGGCCATGCTAAGTCCCCAGTGCCTATCATGAAGTGGCAAAGAGAACGTGCTTACAAGTATCTTAAATGGACAGTGCATGACATGGCACAGATAACTATGTCTTCTCCCAAAGACAACATCTAGGAATGTCATATAACTAAGCAAACCACTTACATACTCAAAGCTAAGAGTGACAAGGTGGGACTTCACACCCTTGCTCTGCACTACTGGCCCCACAGGTGAGGTGGACAGTAAAAGACAGGAGGAAAAAGCTGTAGAACGTAATTGGCTAAAACATATCTAATTTCACGCATTGCTGACTTTTCCCTTATAGTTCTAGCAATCAAGTTTCAAAATACTGCAAGCAAGAAGGCTGAGCCTATGGAAACCAAGTGAGCTGGTGCCATGGGGGTACAGCTTCCGGGTGACTGCAGCTGAAAGCCGGGGTATAGCTTCCTGGTGACGGCAGCCGAGGAACGTGGGAGCAGCTTAAAGACAGGCCACTCAGGAAACATTGCTGAGAGCTGTCCGTGAGGTCCTGTGCTTTGCTGCTTGCTGTCATGTAAAATATTAAAAGCCATGTCATCAATCTGTACATGGGTAATGCTAAATAAGATGGGAAATACAATCTGAGCAGGTGTTTAAGAGGAAGAAAAGCAAAGCCAGTGGGCTCTCAGCAGGTTTTCAGGGTGGCTGTGTGTTCTCTAGTGGCCCAGTTCACTGCCTCAACACTGCCACGCACACATTGCTCTTTGCAGTGTGACTTCACAGAGTGGATGATGAATCTGCTCTCAGGCCGACAAACATGGAACTTACGAGTCTATGATGGCAGTGAGTCTTGGCATGAAGGATGCTGCGAGGTGACAGTTCTGGAGGAAGACCCACTGATGCTTTTTTCCCACTGCCTTAAAAATGAGTTCCTCTGCTTTGGCTGCCTGGTCTCGGCCCAGAGAAATCATGGTCAGCTGAGGTGTCGTTCCTTTGACCTCTTGTGCAAATCTCAGGAGAAGATTGTTGAGGTCAATCCCTGCACAACAATATGGAGAGAGCTTACTTAATTCCGTCCACAATGCAATCCTACACTTGCTGGGGGCTGCTGAGAGGAGGGGTCATTGGAGGAGAATGGCTCAGGTTTTGAAATTTAAGCCCACAGTTCAAAGTTTATCTCTGCTGCTTGTTGACCTATAATGCAAGTTTCCTAATATCTGAGAATGGTAGCAGCTCATGTTCAGAGGGATGAGTGGCTGGTTGTCATGCCTGTATCTGTTTGTCCCTTCGTTCTTTGGTGAGGCACACCACAAATGCTTACAATGCCTACTAACCCAGCTACAACATCATGCTTTTAAAAAAGCCATTCTTGAAACTAGATGTGAGCATGCAAACTGTGTGCACAGGTTTGGGCAGCAAAGGAGTCTTAGGTAAGGTGTGTTGTAAAGCCTTAGCTAGCTCCTAAAGAAAGGAGTGTATCTCCTGCTGTTGAATGGGGGTGGGGGACATTTCCAGTGAACAGATGGCATCTTCACAGGTGTACCTCGAAGAGGTGAGGAAGCCTCTGGGGTGAGAAGAAACTCTAAAGTCCCCTGATTTGCAGTGTGTGAAGACCTGAAGAAAACTGAAGGAAGGCTCTCTGAAGGCCTGCAGAGCACAGGCATGCAACCGAGGTGGGAGTTAGAGGGACACACAACCTATTTCCCATAGTCACCCCTTGCTTTTTTTAAATCAGGAACCAGAAAACTTGTGAGCCAAGTACAACGAGCATGGTGTGGGGACAGACTGAGCGACCCTAATAAACATGTTGCACTACAGAAGTAAAGACCGCTGTGATTTGAAAGGGCTAACATATCTAAGGGGTAGTCCTAACTTCAGAAGAATACCATGTGCTTCAAGGTATTTTCTCCAAGAGAATTAACTCCAATACATTTTGTAATCTTGATTCTTTTATGTTTTTAGAAAGACTTATCCTTAATATAGTTTAAAGCTTAAATCCCTTTTCAGATATGCTAGAAAGACATGAAGCTTTAAACACAGAGGAACTGGGCAGAGTGCTTACTTCTCCACATCCCCCTTTTTGTGAGGAGGGGGTGCTGTTTTTCCAGGCAGGGTCATGTGTCATTGGCTGGCCTAAAAATCCTCAAAGATGGGGTGACTTTGAACTTAGGATCTTTTTGTCCCCACTTCATGAGTTCTGGGATTATCGGAGGGCGCGGGAGCCCTCAGTCTATGAGGTGCCAGAACTGCATGGTAGCTTCCCTCTTCAGTGATGGCTCACCGTAGGAGTGGGTGAGGATCAGTGGTGTTTGAGCAGTAGATTCGCTAAATGACTCTTTCAGATTAACTGTAGTATTGGGGATATATTCACTTCCCATTTTTTCAGTGATAAATTTTTTTATTGAATTTTCTAAACGGTCTGGCCGAAGAATTTTAATCTGGAAAAGAAAAGGGAAGACAAGGTAAGCTTAAAATCTACTCAGGAGGCTATCCCCAGAGGTAAAAATGAAATCAGAGCTCTAGCTAGAGTTTCCTGGTATGCTGTTGGGGAGGGAGGGGGTCTTCTGACCACTGGTGGGTATCCTCACCCCTACCACCTCACTCCCATCCTTAGCTACCTTGTGGCCCCTACACAGCTCTTCCATTTTCTGCTGTTCTTGTCTAGAGCAAGAAGAACTCAAATTGTTTGGAGTTGGAAGACCCAAGATAATCCAACTGGAAGACATTGACAATGGCCCAGTCTGTAAGTTTAAGTGAGACAGAGAGCTGTGGACATGTGAATCATGTTGGGCGCACATATAGTACACATGTAGTGAGCACACAATTTCGCAGTGAAGACTGCCTCATACACAAGTCACTTATGTGACATTTTTACAGAACGATCATGAAATATGTTCTGAGCAAGTTTGGTGTCTCTGCAAGAGAGGCAAATCTGAATCTGAGACTGAGAATGGACTAGGCAGAACCTGGGAAGTTGCTATCTTCCAAAGTGAAATGTTGTCAACTATTGGAAAATTTGTGTTTAATGTAGAACATATATACTTTGAAAAATGAAAGTTGGAAGCACATAAGGAATCTGGGCTCTCACGGCAGACTCCCACAGAGTTAACAAGGCAGTGATCTGGTCAGTCAGTGTCCTTAGTCTCTGTTCTGTTTCTGTGAAAAGACCCCATGACCAAAGCAACTCTTATAAAAATAAATCCTTTAACTGGGGTCTTGCTTATATTTTGAGAGGCTTAATCCGCTATGTTGGAAAGTATGTGGCAGGCAAGCATGGTGTTGAAGAAGTAGCTAAGAGATACACCCTGATCAATAAGCAGAGTGGGAAGGAGGGAGGGAGGGAGGGAGGGACAGGGGTGGGGTGGGGGACTGGCATGGACTTTTCTCCAACTAGGCCATGCCCACTCTAATAGGGTCACACCCTCTAATCCTTCTCAAGCAAAGCCACTCCCTGATGACTAAGCACTCAGATGGATGAGCCTACGGGAGGCTTTCTTATTCAAACCACCACCAAATCATCAGGTTGGTCTGACAGCTTCCTTGCTCAGAACTCAGGCTCTGAAGTAGATCCTGACCCACTGCCACTGTCAAGCCCCTCCTGTCTTTAAATGAACTTTTGGGCATTTGGGTGAGCTTTAATCTCAAAGACTTTGTTTTTGAGGGGTAGGAGGGAGAGGAAGACAGAAGAAAGAACATTATGGTGAATTAGATTTCATTCTCCCTTTTTCCAAATTAATTTTCACAAGGAGCCAAAGATACCCATGGGAAAGTTTTGGATGCACCTATCTGTTCACCACCATCTTTCCCCCTTGTGGTGGCTGTTCTTGGTTGTCAACTTGACTACATTTGGAATTAACTAAAACCCCAAAGTGAGACACATCTGGGGGGAGGACTTTTGTTTAGTTTGAGGAGGGAAGACCCATGTTTTATCTGGGTCACAGCTTCTTCTGGCAGCCTAAATAAAGAACATGGAAGAAGAAAGCCCTCCCCTCCCCTTAAGTGCCATGCTGGTAACTATGATTTAGCTGTGAGTCACCTATATGTTCCTGGACATTAACACCAGGAATCAGACACATTACCAGTCAAAACCAGATTGGGCAGCTGCTGCCTTCTTCCTAAAGGACTGGTTCTATTCCTGTAATTACAACACAAAGGAGGAAGAGGAGGAGGAGGAGGAGGAGGAGGAGGAGGAGGAGGAGGAATGAGAGGCATGGTCACCACACGACAGAGCATCAGGGTGGTACCCTCCCCCACTAAGGCTCAGTACACCTTGGCTTTCAGAAGTCAAGTATATTTTGTTTATAAAAGTAATTTTGAGGGTTTAAACTACCAATAAACTTATCTTAATCTTTTGACTTAGCATATCTTACCAAGATAAGCCTTTGGAATTGAGTGAGTTTTTCCCAAGGAAAAGTTATAGGGTTAAACATTTCATCGTTTTCATCTAGAAATTCTGCTAGATGTCATAAAGAGAAAGAGAATGAAATTAGCATCAGGACAGTTGTGCTGCTACAATACATTACAATACAAATTTAATTATAAAGTCATGGAAAGAAACATGGCAGACTAAATAAATGAGTGTTGTTCCTAGGATCTGGGACATCACTAATGATCCCTCACCAGGAAGTAAGTGGTGGGCAGAGATGCGATAGGAGGGACTTGGGAGGCTCAGGATGTAACCATGGGATACAAAAGCTATAGGAGGATGTGGGGCAAAGGCCACAGTCGGGCCTCAGCACTGATTCAAGTGTCAGTGTATACATAAGAGATTTCTACTCACCATGCTTAAACAGACTGGAAAATGAAAACCCACAGAAGCTCAAACAAGATGCAACAAGTTTGAAAACTTAAATGTTACATTTGCAGAGGTTTGTCCCATGGACTCTCTTTACCTTGGTGATAGTCTTGCTTTCCAAGCAGGATGCTTCCAGGCCTTGCTTTCAGCCACAGCTGTGGTTCCTGTGTGCTCTGCCTCCCTGGCATTTCCCCAACAGCTAACTTTATGTACAACTTGGATGATATAAAAACATCATTTGAATGTACTAATATTCTGTTTTTTTAAAAAATAATCTCTTGCTGTGTGTAAGTTCAATCATGAGTGAGTAAACTTGGTGCACTTTGCAAGGTAAAAAGTTGGGGTGGGGGCTATCATAGGGAAAGGGGGCGAGAAAAACAGAGGACAGAGTTCAAAGCAGAAAGCAGAGTAGGAGCTATGACAAATGGCGGCCCTTAAAGACCCACTTCCTGTGCAGCTCTTCCCTGGGCTTACTGTGGTTTTCATGGGTATCCTTTTCTTTCTTTTTATGTCCTAGGGACTGAACCCAGGTACCTTGCTATATTGGGCAGAAGCTCTCCTACTGGGCTGTGTGTTCAGCTCCTGTGTTACTTTTAGAATGAATGTCTGCTCCACAAAATGAGGAATCCATGAAAGCTTCCTCAAATGCAAGATTCAGAAACACCCAGTGTGCTGTAATGATATACTGGCATATTTAATGTTTCCAGAGGTCAGAAATCCCACCAGCGTCTCACCTAAACAGTGAAATTCGTAAAAATCCCTTGCTAAGGAAATTGTGAGGCTTGCCCAGACTCAAATGTGCCGTGCAGAGCACAGCGAGTTCCTTGCTTCCATTTGGTGGGATCTATCTTTTCGGTTTGTTTGTTTGTTTGTCTGAGACAGAGTTTCCCTGTGTAGCCTTGGCTGCCCTGGAACTTACTCTGTTGACCAAGCTGGCCTCAAATTCAGAGACGCACCTGCCTCTGCCTCCCGAGTGCTGGGATTAGAGGCGTGCACTACCGCACAAGGCTCATGATCTATCTTTACACACTGAAAATCTGCACATGCATGTACACGTTTGGTGAGGTTAGGTTAAAGAGCCAAGGGTCCCTACCCTCCTTTGCTGCTCTCGGATTTTTACGAGGTGAAGTCACATCTGTGAAGAAAGGCCTGCTTATTAGAGAGTACACAGCCTTAGAGTCCCTGAAGGCATTCCACTGCTGCTCATTTGACAGGAGTGACTTGCACAGAAGGGAGAAGGGCTCCATTTGGTTGCTGATGTACTGGCATTGCCTCCACCTCAGGTCTGGCACCCACTGGAGATGCTCCTTTCTCCGTATTTCAAATATACCTAACAGAGAAGGGAAACCAGTCACAGGACAGAGAAACCCCGCACCTTCTAGTGACTTGTTACAGAGGAGATAATTGACAGGCATTTGTTGTTGAGCAAAGAGCCCCTTCATATCCAAATATCAACTAGAGGGTCTGGGGATGCAGCTGAGTGGCGGGATGCTTGTCTGGCATGCATGAGGCCATGAGCTCTCTCTCCAGCACATGATAGGCAGACATACTAACTGCATAAGTCTTGTTATGGGAGAAATGACAGCACTGACCATTTTAACCCTTTCGGCACGGAGCCCAGTTTTGTGTACATCCATTCGACAGTCACATACAACTCCCCTCCTCCAAGTTGTGGTGGCCAACGGTCTATTCTGTTTATGTAAACTGCCACCCTCAGACACCTCATAGAGTGGTGTTTGTATTTTTGTGACTGTTTTACCTCATTCAACAAATGTCATTGAGGCTCAGTAAAACTCTAATATGTAATGGGATTTTCTTTCTTTTAAATTCCATTCCTATTGCATTAATGTCAAAATTTCCTTACCCCTTCATCCACTGGCAGACATGTGGCTGCATACACATGTCTGCTATCATAAACATACTGCTATGAATACAACTTCCAACATATCCTCCAGATTTGGCCACAATCCTTTGGCCATATACCCAGAGTGGAATTGTTGAGTTAACTGATTTTTCTGTCTTTAACGTTTTGGGGGAATGCCATTCTATTCTCCATATTTACAATTCCACCATAAAGCACATAAGGCACATAAAGTCCGTAAAGCACATAAAGGTTAGAGGCCAGTGCCACAGCCGGCGCCCTCACAGGCACACATGTGGAGGTTGGTCCTCAGCCAGCAGCTGTGTCTGGGACGTTTAGGTAGGTCTTAACAGTGAAAATCCACTTCTGCTTCTGCTTCTGGTTCTAGCCCAGGCTTGCTGCTTCCTGATCCACTGGATGTGAATGAGCTGTACCAGAAAGCCCCTGCCCTCATCCTCAGATTGACACCCCCTGAAAGTGTAACACCCTTGAAAGTGTGAACCTAAATAACTCCTCTTTCCTGAAATTATTTCTTTTAGGTGTTTTATACTAGTAACTAACACCAATAACATAGACATTTTTCTTTGTTACCTGCTAGGACTTTTTAAAAAAGTATGAGAGAGAAAGAGAGAGAGAGAGAGAGAGAGAGAGAGAGAGAGAGAGAGAGAGAGAGAATGAATGTGTGTGTGCTATGTATGTATGTATATATGTATGTATGTGTGGTATCGTGTATGCTATGTATGGATGTGAGTGTGCATGTGTATGTGGTGTGTGTGTGTATGTGTGTACCACTGGCTGGCCGATGAGCTTGGCTATAAGCACACATAATTGTACCTGGCTTTGGAATGTGGGTGCTGAGAGTCTGAACTTAGTCACTCATGTTTGCACAGAATATACTTTGCCAACTGAGCCATTGTCTTCCTCTGCTGGAACTTTTATAGCTTCAAGCCTTACACTTAAATCTCTAGTCCCTTTAGACTTGATGCTTGTATTTGGTATAGATAAAGTTCAACTTCAGGCTTTTATATATGCTCACTCAGTTTGCCCAATAATTGAATGCAAATATATGAAAGTTAATTTCTGGCTCTTTATTCTATGGCATTGACTTCTTTTTTTAAATATTTATTTTTATTTTAAAATTTTATTTTAAATGTATGTATATATGTGCATGTCTGTGTGGGAGAACATGCAAGAGAGTGCAGTTGCCTTCAGAGGCCAGAAGAGGGCATCAGATCTCCTTGAGCTGGAGTTACAGGTGGTTGTGAACTGCCCAGTGTGGGTGCTGGGAGACTTTTATTTATCTGTTTTCATGTGAACATGACCTAGTTACTCAACGGTAGTGCAGCCTTATAGCATGCTTTAAGTGAGAAAGCAGGAGCCGTTCACTTCGGTGCTCTTTTAAAAAACACTACTTGAGGTAGATTTTTTTTTCTGATCTGAGATCTTTTCTTTTTTTTTTCTTTTTTTTTCCTTTTTTTTCTTTTTTTTTTTTTCTTTTTTTTTTTTTTTCTTTTTTTTTCTTTTTTTTTTCTTTTTTTTTCTTTTTTTTCTTTTTTTTTCTTTTTTTTCTTTTTTTTTCTTTTTTTTC